AACAATCCAAAAGGATCCCTGTGATTCCAAGGGGTACACACACACACACACACGCCTCCCCGAGGGGAGGCAAAATTAAGGCTAGGACGAATGTGCAAATGTGCGCGCAGCAAGGACAAAAGGATGAAGACATGAGAAGGAAGACGCCGGGACAAAAGTGTGTGTGGCTGCGATGAAAGAGAAACCAAATGCACAGGGACAACCGATGAAACCTCATTGTCGAAACCTGGGCGACCTGAAACCTGAGTTGGAAGTAGATGCGCGCGTACACGCTAAACCCCGGACCGTTGTACGCGCAAAAGAACGAAAGGAGTGAGATGAAAGGACATGAAGCAAGGGAAGACATGAAAAGAAAGAGGAAAAGAAGTATGTGAAGGGGAAAGGGTGAAAGGGGAACCAAATGGAGGGGACGGGAACCGATGAAACCAGACCTCATTATAACAACCTAGGAAGACCTGCCTCGTCAAGGTGTGTACGATGTATGTGCACCTAAGTCGCCGACAGGTTCCAATGAACCTTAAACTGGCTTTGACCGCTGTGGTCACCTTGTGCCCTGCCGAAATGGCTGGCTGCTTTGACCGCTACGGTCACGTGAAGGCATGAGCCAACTTGGAATTCCAAAGATGAGACAAAAATCATCGTACGTACGGCCTAGGCCACCTACGCTCGCTGTGAGCTGCTCTGTATCCGGGCAGTGGATACGTTCGACAAACCCCCGTTCAACGGGTCCACGGGAGGCACTGCGGGCTCATCCCGGGTTGGCACGTGGCCAAACACACTTATGGATATGCATACTGAACTGAAAGCGGTGCCACACGCCGGCCAGGGTTCCAATTCCTAAGGGTACATGTACGAACCACTGGATCCTGGAGGTCTTCAAGAGGAAGTAGGGCCCAAAAGGAAAAGACGAGCGACGAACCGACAAGATGACGTCGTGGCGTGCAAGTCTGCAGGTGAGGTTCTTGGCTTCGCCTCATGCCATACAAAATTCGCAGGTACGTCACGGTGATCAGCCGCGATATCCGCATGTACTGTGGCCGCTTCGTTGGACCATCGCACACAGCACATGGATGGTCCTCCTGCTGTAAAACGAAAATATTAAAAGCAAGAACAATCCAAAAGGATCCCTGTGATTCCAAGGGGTACACACACACACTTAGGATAGGGTGTACTGAACTGAAAGCGGTGCCACACGCCGGCCACAAGTTCAGCGAGGCCATAAAGTCAAAAGGAACCGCCGAACGATCGACCGACATAATGACGTCGTCCGCAGAAAAGCCAAGTTCATCACCGCTGCATTAGG